CAATATATATATATATATATATATATATATATATATATATATATATATATATATATATATATATATATATATGCATGTATAACATACCTTAGCTCTTCCTAAGGCCATGGTGAGAATACAATAAAGGACATGGAAAATAGCCAAAACAAAGATGAAAATATGAAGCTGGTGTATACCATCCGAGGACACAAATGGAACTTTACCCTGCAAAAATATGTCATTTTCCACGTCATTTCATGCATATAATATATAATTAATTAATTAATTATGTGCGTGTTTTTTTTTTCTTGTTTCAAAATTAATAAGCCATCAGTTAATTCAAAGTCATGTTAGAATTGAGAATATTAACCATACCTTTTCCGCGCATTTGTCAGTTCCGCCGCCGGCCAGGATACGCCGGAAACTGCCTCCGTCCACCACCGAGAGAAGTCTCCGGCGGTTATCTTCTTCGGGATCTTCTTTCGGCGGCGCCGGGTACTTGTTCCCCTCTTGCTTCTTGTTGCATGGGTGCCACGTGGACCCCAATTTCTCCGATATACATATGTTCGAGATTGGACTCTGGCCCACCGTCAGCAGCAACGATATAAATCCCAGCAGCATCAACTCTTTATTTATACAAAATTAAAATAAAAATAAAAATAAAATTGATTAATTAACTTTAAATTATATACTGATTTAATTTAATTTAATTTAATTAGTGTACCTGCTTTGACCTTTTCGAGTGATTCATAGAGAGCCCTTTTATGTTTCGACTTGAACCACTGAAATCAATTATTTGCAGAATAAATAAAATAATTAGAAAAAAAAAATTAAAATCAGTTGCAGGGATTATTATATTCCTTTTTTTTTTAATTCATCGGGAAATGTGTAATTACAGTTATACCTTTCCTATTAAATGGATGATGTGTTCGATAAGAATGGAAACCGCAACCAAAACAAAACACACAACCGCCACAGCCCAAGTCGGCGTTTGCTCCAGTGATCTTCCTCCGCTGGCTCCGGCCATTCTTTATATCCTCCGCCGCCGCCGCCGCCGTCGATGATTTGTCTGCAACTCTCGGAGC